TAATAAGGATTGCATGACTTTTATTACAGTCATTAACTTTTTTGAAAAAAAAATCCAATTTTGGAGGGGGAAAAACCTAAATGATTCCTACATTGTGCAACATCTTCAAACACTTCATTGGCACAGCCTATGGATTGGTTCCCGGTTGTCACAATCCTAGGCTGGAAATAATAATTATAATTTTAAATGGTGCTTCTGAAATGTATGCAGGTAGTCTTCAACTTAACGACCATCGCTGAGCCCAGAATTTATGTTGCTAAGTGAGAAATTTGTTAAGTGAGTTTTGCCCAACTTTACAAAATTTTCTTGCCGTGTTTGTTAAGGGAATTGCTGCTAAATTAGCAGCTAAATTAGTAACACGGTTGTTAAGGGAATCTGGCTTCCCCATTGACTTGGCTTGTCAGAAGGTCACAAAAGGGGATCATGTGACCTTGGGAGACTGCGGTTGTCATAAATATGAGTCATCTGTCAAGCATCCGAATGTAAATCATATGACCCTAGGAATGCTGCAACAGTCATAAGTGTGGAAATGGTCATGTCATCTTTTTCAGTGCCGTTGTAACTTCGAACAGTCCACTAAATGAACTGTTGTAAGTCAAGGACTACCTGTATAAGATATTTAATTATTCCTATCTTGCAAATGAAGAAGAGAAAATGAAAGTTCCATTGGCAATGTTCAAGACTGGTTGGTTCATAATTTGCCCCTACGTGAGTTAGCGATAGAAGAATTTTCTTTAATGGCGAATGCCATTGCATGGAATAGGGATTGAAACCAATACTTTGCCAGATAGCAAATTTCTGGAAAGGAAAATATAGTGGCAAGCACTGTGAACTTGATAGCAGATGGCTTTATTCGTTGTTTGCTTTGTTTTATCCAGAGCTGACATATACTTGATGTTAGTTGCCCTTTGGAAATACAACACCTCTTTTGATATACTTTATAATTAAGTGGATGTTTATTTACATAACATCAGAGATCTTTCCTATAGAAGACAAAGCCTGTATTTCTGCCCTTGAACCTGTCACTATATAAGAAGACAAGAACATTAAACTGACACCAGATACTAAGCAAGGAACTCATTTTATTGTTTTGTGACTTCTTGGTTCATTTCTCATAATCTTCTGATTATTTAAGTAAAGGAAGTCTCATTTGATCACTCAATTTATGGTGACAGAATGTAGATCCACCCAACATTTGCATTATATAATGTAATAATAACATGCATACTGTGGAATTTTATATACAGAGCCTTAAGAAGCCCAGTTAGCCATTTTATTCTTTAAAGTTTGAATAATCTTATCCTGTTACAGATTTAGTTAGTCAGTTTCTCAACAGTCCCTCCTCACATTGTCATTTAATCTCATTTTATAGTTATTTCATATATATTGCATTGTGTGCTTTCTACAGCACCTAAAGAGAATTTCTATTAAAAGAAAGGGATTTATTATTCATTACATTTATATACTACCCACTCATATCAAACTGAGTGGATTAAGTGGAAATCTCTCCTTTCCAAACACAGGTCTTTAAAATCCTTTTATTAAGGATTGTGTCATTTTTATTACAGCTTTTAAACTTTATTTAAAAGACTAATTTTAAATAAAAACCTAAACATCTGAAAGATCAGATAAAATGTTTCAAATAAATAATCAGATGGTGCTCATATATTTAATGCTATACAGCTTACTATTTATCTATCTGCATAGTTTATTTTAATCATAATCTGGCAGTCAAATCACCGAATTATGATGGTGGCCTGCTTCATATGTAATATTAAGCCATAAATCAAGATTTGCAATTGTATTGCCTAAATTCATATATCACACTAAGATAAAACCAAATAAATTACATTAATATTAGAGGCTGGCTATCTTCAGAACCACTCTGGTGGGCATACTGTTTAAAAAAAAACCAGATAATCTGAAAAGGAAAGAAATGGTGAACTGAGGAAGGCTTGGGTTTTAATGGTGTCGGTGACTGCAACAGAATGAAGAGCTGGACAAGGAGAGGAATTGAGATTGTCCACAAGTTCTCCAAACAGTTGCTCATTATGAAGAGACCACAAGACAGCAGTTTCCAGCAGGTTTCGAAGTTTATAGCTCTGGAAGATAAGCTTTCTGCTCAAACGTAGTTGGCACCTTCAAAAGATCACAATTGTTTTTCTAACTGCTTTCAGAAATTGCTTGCTAACTGCTTTTCAGCTATTAGGAACCTTTAAATAGACAAGTTTTACAGGACCAGGGCATTTTCTTTCAATCCTTAGTGAAAGAAGTTTTAAATACAAGTTTAATGACTTACACAATTCTTTTGGAATAAACGGGGGGTGGGGGAAGGAGGGTGTTTAGAATTTTGGATTTTGGAAAGTTACAAATGGACTAATCCTTCCCATGGAAAAATGCTATTCTTTCTATTACTATTAAATGAATAACAGAACTGGAATTACAATTCAGAAACAGAATTAAAACAGAATTACAATTACAAATAAAACAGGATTACAATTCAAGGAGAATTAAACTGGATTTACAAATACAAAATGGAGCATAATATTTTAACATTGGACATATTGAAGGATATTTTTGAACAATGGACACAGAAGTTAATTTTAAGAATGTCTGATTCTATAGACAGCGTTTAAAAGGTGTTATGAAAGAGGAACAGGTTTTTACTGGATAAAAGTAATATTGATCTCAAAGTGGATTCAAAAATGACAGGCTACAATGATATAGAAAAACATATCACACTGGACACATAAATGAAATTGGCTGACGTCCAATAATCAAACAGAATACAGAAAATAATAAACCAAAAGAGTGACTTGAGTAACTTTCCTATATTGGATTTACAAAAGAAACTTGTCAAAGCTTTGAAGAATTTAGTGAGAAGGGACAAAAAAAGAACTCAAATTCTAGGCTATTATTAGTTTACACATAAGGGGACATTGGAAGAAGAGATCATTTTTTATATTTTAAGAGAAGATGGCAGGTTTCTAAAATTGTTTAACAGGTAATGAAGTGATCACTTTAAATACTTCCCTTTTCTTTGTTATATTCTTATTTTTCCCTTCTTTTCCATTTTTTTTCTTTTCTGCATTTTCTATTTTTTCTTTTTAGTTTGCATTATTTTATTTTATTTTTATTGTAATTTTAAATAAAAAAGTCACCACTGCTAAAAGAGTTCCTCAAGCATGCTTCTCAGAGACTTCAACCACTTTTGGGGTGAAGGCTGCAAAGTGATGCATTTCAGATCCAGAAAAAGCTTCCATCTGGCAAACCCATCTCTACTTACTGAACAGTATCCCAACATCTGGTTTTGGAAACATCAAAGCATGGATCGAAAAACGAAATATAACATAAACAGAAACCAGGATATCACCTTTCTGCCACAAAGCATCTGGGATAATATGGAAAGTAACCGTCACACATTTTTTATCTTTCACTCTTTAAATCCTGTTGTTTATTATGTTCAAACTAAAGTGTAAAAAATAATGGCTACTCTAAACAAGTCAAACACCATCAATTAATTACCCTAGAGGGAAGCTGTTTAGAAATGGAATAACACTAACTGAGGATTCTGTATTTTTCTTTATTTGTCTGTTAGCTATTTACAGAGCTCAAGAGCTATGGGTGTGATCAAGTACTTTGATCTTATATAAGAATATCAGTATGAACAAAGACAGTACTGATACACATGGACTCACCACATTATACAAATTGGCCTTGGATTTCACATTACATTTGTCCAAACATGTTTTTAGTATCTCTGCTGTTCAGCATAACCATCCCCTTTTTCTATAAACATTTATGTTCAGTAATGTTTTAGTAATGACTTTCTGTATTTAGAACAATCACAGTGTAAATGCAGAGATCATCCCACCATTGTAAAAGCAGCAGGAGGAGAAGCACTATTGCTTAATATCAAAAGCACAGAAACTTTCAAGCTGTCGCAGTAGCGGCCCGTAAGTGAAAAGCATCAGCAGAGACAAGGCCATTATGTCAACCACAGAACTGGAGCAGCAAAAGACTGCAAAACTGAAGGCATTTAAATCGTTTTTTCACAAAGCATCCTTCAAATCCTTCAAAAAGCACCCCAAGGTGCTTTTTTTCAAGAGGCAACCGGGCTTTTTGGTTTTTCTTTGAAGACGTTTCGCTTCTCGTCCAAGAAGCTTCTTCACTTGCCTCTTGAAAAAGCACCTTTGGGACAACCATGACCTGGATGGCAGAATCTACACAGACGTCCTTCAGATATATAGTAAAACACTTGACAGGTTGGTTAATTTTAGAGGCATTGTTCGCCTATACCTATTTTCTGTTCCAAATACTCAACAGAGTCAAGGTACTTATCTGCATTCTATCATTGTGCCAGTGAAGCACAAAGTACAGAGCATACCAACAAGAACCTGCCTCCCCCTGTCCCCCCCATCAGTTTAGATAATCAACACACATTCTCATTACCATTTTCAGTCCTCTATACCTGCACTGCATTCCGAATCCATATGAAATATTAACATTCATTTCCATCAATAATTTCCCTACAGGTTTCCTTATCTCCTATAAGACAGTCTGTCTGTCACAATTCTATAAACAATATATATTCCCGAGTTTGTCTAGCTTTTATACCTGCATATATGCATTTTCTGAGCAACTTCATTCCTATGCCTAATGCTTGTGTTTTTCCCCCAGACGTACTAGCAATTTCTATCTGGCAATCTAGTCCTTGGATTCAGGATTCATTCAGGATTCCTTTGTTTCTTGTGGCACAAGATTCAAACCAGGCTTTCATACCCAGCTCATGTCTTTCCCCACCTATTTATATATCATGATTCATACATGGTAAGGATGCCAGTACCACAACTATAAAGTTTGAGGCGTTAATGTAGCATTTCACAGCATGATTGCCCAGGATTCCCAGTGAGCTCAAATGGATTGATTTCTGTACAGTATAACCACATCTGGAAATATAAACAAAGCATTTAAGTGCGATTATCTATATATGAACTCACCCTTCTAATCTTACATCAGGCAAACTTCGGTTGAATGCAATCATGTCACTAGCCATAAGATTAAATTGGTTGATTTTAAAAAGCTCTTTCATTTTTTCCTGATCATCCTTGGGAATGAGAACTGCTTTTCCCATCTCTCCTGGTCCTTCTTGGCTTCTTGACATAACAGCTGAAAAAGAAGATATTAAAAAAAAATACATGTTTTTAATCTTTCTGCATGGTTCTCATCACTTCTGTTACATTTTTTGGAATCTGGAATCCATTTTTATTTTGCTTGTAGATTCTGACTTTCAAACCCACATTTCATGAAAAGTTGGAACTAGTAGTTGATTTGAAAATCAGAATTTGAGACATACCCAGCTTTTGGGAAATCATGCCAAACAATTTATAACAGTTCATTCTCACCATGATCTCAATATTATCCCTGCCATAATCATGCACACACATATTAGAGTCGTAAGATTAAAGATGACACTTCTATCCTTCACACAAACCTACCAGTTCTCATCTAACATTTGTCTGAAAGAGAATGCTTGCAGAATGAGGTTCTTCAGGAATCCTATCGGCTCTAAAGGTCCTATTCAAACAGGGGGAGATCAAAGTACATAATGTACGACCAGCAGAGGAAATCACATCTCCACGTAGCTGAAAGGGAATGCACTAAAAGAAATGGATAAAACCTTATTTTAATAATGATTGGCACATGCTTATTGGCACAATTTAGTTCTTTGTATTCCTGATGATGCAGTCAAATTTTTTGGAGATACTGGAAAGTCAAGAGTTCTTGTTGTTTACTAATTTTATTTTATTAAAGTAGCCAAGGAGAATATGCTGGTGGAGAGATCTTAAATTATCAGTTGCACAACCTCAATGCCTACTAAAATAATCAGAGTTGCGATTTTTAAAAATATTTTTCTTTTTCCTTGAGGCTACTTTTGCAAAGCAAAGGAGGAGAGGCAATCAAGTGTGTCCGCCCTGGCTGAGGACTGAGTCGAAAGCTGGGAGTAGTTACCCATAGTGGCTGGAGCTAAGCTAATCAGCTTTTTTTTTCCCAAAAAGTTTTTAATTTTTTAATTTTTACACATCTCTTTGAGTGGGCAACGTGGTTCCAGATTATAACACTTGTACATAATGATACTTTCATTTCCAATGAGAACATATCCCCACCCAATCAGAACACAGCCAAGCTCCCACCCAATCATGTCACATCCCCCACTAGCAGTTAAAAGGAAGAAGCAGCTGCAAGCTCACATTACTCCGAGAAGCACAAAGCCGAAGACACAAGCCTGAAGATGATGAATGAGACTTCATCGAAACGTCACCTAGATACTTCAATTTTACGTGGGAGAAAACCGGAATAAACACATAAACACACACACACACACACACACACACATATATATATAAAATTTCCAACATTTTAAACTGAATACCAATATACATTCCCATGTGGTATCCCCCTTATACAATCCCTAACCCTTATCTCTAAATCCCGAAACTTTTTATCATTCCTTTTAATTTTGGCTATTTCCCTTTTCTAAATTTCCACAGTCTTTCTTCTTTTTTCCTTCTAGTTTTATTTTTATTTCCCTCTGCCTGCCGGCCATGTTTCCCCCCACCTCCTTTTCAGTTCTCTATTTTGGGGTTTCTTCTTATATATTCTCTTCTTCTTAGTCTTGAGTGTCTTATCTCTTTTATTTATTGTCTCTAATGTCGATGTCTCTTGTTTTAAGTCCTTTTATGTCCTTTGACAATGGTCCTTGTTCTTCATGCTCATCAAGGCTGTTATTTTCCTCTTTTAATTCGTCCTCTCTGGGCTTCCTTTGTTCTTCCGCAAGCTGTGATGCCATTACTTTACTCAACATTAATTCCACCAATCTCATTCTTTCTCTCTCACATGTTTCTCACATTTTGGAGCTCCAACTTAAATTCTTTGCTTATTTCTTCCATTTCTTTGGTCTATTAAGTTATTCTTTATTTTATTAAAAGTCAAATTTTTCTGTTATAGTCCTTGTCAAAAGTCTCCCTTTTAACTGTAATCCCCTCTTATTTTTTTATAAGGCTTCTGGGGATCTTGTTATGTATGACCAGTAATTTTCCATAGAAACATAAAAGAAGGAAATCTTTAACCCTTAGGTGGTGCTTTATATCACTTTCTTCTTAGAATTCTTTTATATTTAATTCACTTTTCCATAGTATTAACATTAGATTTAACCAATTCCAAATAAGTCCAGCATTTTATCCAATGCCTGATTAATGTCTAATTCTGTATGTTATTCCAAATTTAGTCTCTAATCACATATAATTCTTTTATTTCCAGTTTTTTTTTTAACCTTATATTTTCCTCTTATTTCTCGTTTGCCACTACCACTCTTCCAAATGAGGGGTCTTTCTTTCCACTTTTTGGGCTTATCAAAAAAAATATTCAAAGTCTTTTATCCAGTTACATGCTGCTCACCACTTTCACTCTCCAGCACAAAACTTGTGTCCCGGCAGCTTCCTGTCTTCAGGGCAGCCATTAACAGACTGCCACTTCTCCCTGTCTTCTAGGGGAGTTTCCCAAGCCAGGGAGGGGAGATGCGTCTCCCCTCGACCCAGCTGGTGGTCTCCCCCTCTTCCTCCCCACCCCTACGAGGTGGGTCAGATGGATCCGGTTCTTTAAGGACCCCTCCAACAGGGTAAGCCACGCACAATCGCGGTCTCTGATCTGTCATCGACCAGAGCGCCACCGGAAGTTTAAGCTATTCAACTTTGACAGACTCAGTCCAATCAGCTAGGACACCGAGCAACCCATGCCTGACCATGCCTGATCTATCGCAGCCTTACAAGGGAGAACTAGGTAACAACAAATCAGGAAAAGCTGTTCTGAATGAACGTGTTATCTGAGCTTAATTATCAACATTATACCATTGCTAATGCATTGTTCAAATTGTCTGTTTTGGACTCCATTTTTAACTGGTTCAAATCTTCTACTACTCAAGCTGAAACCCAAGTGTATTCTGTATTACACCATACAGACTATCCCACATTCTATCCAGCTTCCATTTTTTAGAAAGAGAAGAATGAAACTTCCTTTCCAGATGATCCTAAGGCTCGGGACTATCCATATGATTGTGATGTACAATTTATAAAAAGAAGTGGGGAGAAATAGACCTTTAAGGGGGGAAAAATGGGCAGAGAGAATCAGAAACCAACAAATCAGTAAAATGGATTGTGCTGTCAAGCCTTTAGCAACTTTGTGCAGCCAAAAAGCTTAGATTCATACAGAGAGTTATTAGCCAGGTTAATTGAAAGGAAAAACGGGCCTAGGTTACAGAATCTTAGAAACAGTTTATGCATACTTTTGCAACCCATTTATCACTTATGTTTACGTGGGCTGCAATTCCTCAATCTTCTTGCAGACTGCAGCAGTGGAGAACATGCTGCTAATTTTCCTGATGTCCTGATCCTTAATATTGAGAAGTCCATTACATATACACCATGGGCACAGAATCTATTATTTGAGAGAGAGAGAGATGGGATACTGGAACTTCAAGCAGAAACACCCCATATTGCAATACTTTGATGCAGCTCCTATTTCAATATCTCAAATGATCCATTTGTTAAAATACTGAAGTTTCCAGATGATACAACAGTGATTGGTCTCATTTGAGACAACGATGAATCCGTATACAGACGGGAGGTTGTACAACTTGCCTCGTAGTGTAACCGGAACCATCTGGAACTGAACACACTCAAAACCGTAGAAATGATGGTAGACTTTAGGAGAAACCCTCCCATACTACCACCTCTTACAATACTAGACAACACAGTATCAACAGTAGAGACCTTCAAATTTCTAGGTTCTATCATATCTCAAGACCTAAAATGGACACCTAACATCAAAAACATCATCAAAAAAGCAAAACAAAGAATGTTCTTTCTGCGCCAACTCAGAAAGCTCAAACTGCCCAAGGAGCTGCTGATACAGTTCTACAGAGGGAATTATTGAGTCTGCCATCTGCACCTCTATAACTGTCTGGTTTGGTTCTGAAACCCATCAAGACAGACACAGACTTCAGAGAGTAATTAGGACTGCAGAAAAAACAATTGCTACCAACCTGCCTTCAATTGAAGACCTGTACACTGCACGAGTTAAAAAGAGGGCTGTGAAAATATTTACAGACCCTTCACATCCCAGTCATAAACTGTTTCAACTCCTTCCCTCAAAACAATGCTATAGAGTACTGCACACCAGAACAACTAGACACAAGGACAGTTTTTTTCCAAAACATCATCACTCTGCTAAACAAATAATTCCCTCAACACTGTCCAACTATTTACAAAGTCTGCACTACTGTTAATCTTGTTATTACTCCTTATCACCCATCCCCTCCCACTTTTGACTGTATGATTGATTTCTTATTCTACCCTATGACTATTATTAAGTGTTGTACCTTATGATTCTTGACTCTTGACGAATGTATCTTTTCTTTTATGTACACTGAGAGCATTTGCACCAAGACAAATTTCTTGTGTGTCCAATCACACTTGGCCAATAAAGAATTCTAATTCTATTCTATTCCTATTTGACAAACGAATATGTTCAATAACAGAGATGTAGACAAGTATAGTACATTACTGCTGCAAATATGTCTCACCCTGATCAGCTATTCTGGAATTAAATGGGCACATTTTTTAACTCTACCAAAAACAGTAGAAAAAGAATATATTAAAGGAAGGAGATATATAGATAGATAGATAGATAGATAGATAGATAGATAGATAGATAGATAGATAGATAGATAGATAGATAGATATAGGACTAGAACTCACAGATCCCTGGTTTTTATCCCAGTGTCTCAACGACCACACCGACATGAAATCTTCTTAAAAGATTTAACACAGAAGCTACAGAGCTCATGGGATTTTACTTCCAGATTTTACCATCAACTGTCCAATTCTTCATCTATTGATAGCAAATTTCTCAGAACTTTGATGAAACAAAGTGCTTCCGGCTAAAAATAACAATCAAGGGAAATCTGTGATTGCTGTGAAGAAGAAAAGCTTCAGCCATTCTGTTTTCTTCAGAAAGGAAAACCTCTGTCTAGACAACAGTTACACTGATTTGCCAGAACGACTGGACAAGCTTTGGTTTCAGTAAGTCCACAGGAAGTTCAAAGCAATGCTAGATGTTATCAACATTTACTTTTCTACCTTGATTGCATGAATACTCTCATGGGTGTCCTTATAGGAAGAAATTCATTCATAATGGAAATCCTGCTGTGGACAGGCAAGTATCCCAAGAGGAATTAATTATACCTAATTCTCAAGAGGAATTAAGGAGGATATTTCTGTTTCAGCCTATGACCTTGTTGTGCTTTCTGTGGTAGAAACAAGCTCATATGCAAAATTTAGAATTAAACTATCAGTAACAGTAGGACTTTGTTTTCCCTTATCAGCCAATACCCCAGTTTACATCTCCATATATTTAGTTGACCAATCATGTCATGTACACACACATTGTTTGTTTAAATTATCAAGGAATATAAGAAAACTCTAAAGAGATTGCAATCAAAATTGCCGCTGCAGTCCTTTTTTGCTCAAACCATTTTTTTCTGTGCCTGCCACAGATTAACCATTTGAACTGTGGACCACCCTTCAGATACTTCTACAACTCCAGAGAAGAGTTTTATATAATCATATAGAAAAGTTACACAGCACCGTACCGGAAAATCAGAATTTGTTTTACTGCTATTGTATTCCCCTTTTAGAAAGAAGAAAAGAAAACCTTAACAGAACAGCAAAAAAATAATAAAATAACATAATAAAATAAAAAATAATAATAACATAAAATAATAAAATAAATAAAAAATAAACTAAAATAAAATCTATGCATCATGCAACAAGGCTGCCTAGAAAATACTGGAATCAGACAGGCACTTGACAAGCAAATTTAGGCACTTTAAGTGAGGCGCTTGGGTGCAGCAAATTCCCACATACTTTTTTTTTTAATCCCTCAAGACTAAGGAGTTTCTGCTTGAAGATATTTTTTTATAATCTGCTAAGCTGGCATCTCCTTTTTCAAGTGTTCTTGGTATAGAACTGTACGACAAAGCATATCACTGTTCTCCGATGAATCTGAACCAGCAGCTACAAGGACCTTGAGAAATTGTTGCAGTGCAACAATCATAACAAGGCTCATCTCATCAAGATTTCCTGTCCTTCTCTTTGGGATGTCAAATTCCAATGATTTCTTGACACAAAGGTCTGCAAGACATCTATTCCAATTTTTTCCCTCTCTTTCAAGTTTAGATCTTCTGGTAGATCTAGGTCGATCTTTGTAAGAAAGGCATTTTTGATTTTTTTGGATAATAGATGCAGCTGGACAGACAAAGTGATTGAAATTGTTCAAGGAAGAAGCATATGTTACTACTTTATTGCTTTTCAAATTGCTTCATTAGGAATAGCCACTTTTGTAATGATATGTTTTGGACAATTATATTGTATAGATAAAACATTGCTAGGCAATTAACTAACCAGATGTGTATTTTAAGTAGAACATTGAAGTAAGGGATTATTTAATCATTTTCAAACTTAATTTAAACAACACCGCAATTGGCTTATGAATTCAGGTGCTAGTCTAGCATTGGGGAAACCTGAGTCCTACTGTGGTCATGGAAATCAACTGGAGGATTTTGATTGTTAGGAATAACAAGGTTACCTAACGTAGTTTGGGTAAAATAATATATATAAACTATGATAGTAAGTTTAAGTGTGTGTCACTTTAAACTGCAAAGCATGTAATTTTGGGTGCGGTGTGAAACCGCCATAAGAGGGAGCAAGAAAACCTGACGATTCCTGACGATTGCTGGTTTGATGGATTGATGGTTTGTTAACTGCGTGTTTCC